AGCCAGCATTCGCTGGCTGGGGAATTCTGGGAGTTGAAGTCCAGACATCTTCAAGTTGCTAAGGTTGAGAAACACTGTTTTAAAGCCAAGGGGGGAAGCCGGATGCGCTTAACACGGTGTGACTAATTTAACGTTGAACAAATGTGTCAAGAAAGGTCGTTAAACGGGGCAAACCCCACTTAAAAATAACTCGCCGACAGCATAAACGTTGGGCTCCCTTGTGGTCGTAAGTCGAGGACGGCCTGGTCACCTGCGCCACCCCGCCCACCTCCCAGTGACGTCAGAGCGCGCCCTCCCCTTCCACGTCCGCAGCGGGCCCCGCCCCCTTCCCGCAGCGGGTGACGTCACCCACCTCGCCCGACCTGCGGCGGCGGCCTCTCCAGGCAGCATTCGGCGAAGTAGCAATAGAGCCTCGGGAGGGAGATGAGGCCGGTGAGGGCCGAGGCGGTGCCGGCCAGCGCGATGCCCATCGTGATCGGGTCCATCGCCCGCGCAGCCGGGCCCAGCTGCCACAGCACCAAGGCCAGGCCCCATACCGCCCCGGGCGCTCGGAGAAGCTTCATCGCCGGCAGCCGCGCTTGGGCCGCTGCCTATTGCGCCTCAGCGCCTCGCTTCCTCTTCCGCCCGGGCTGCTTCCGGCCCCGCGGCCGCCATCTTTACGCCGGGCCGGTTGGGAAAGGCCATTGGCTGCCGGGGAGAGGGGGCGTGGCTTTGCTTCCCCGCCTCCCTCCCGTTGCAGCCTGTCGGATTTCCACCTTTTATATCTTCTCACGATCAGCAGACACGAGTCAGCGAGCCAAATCGCGTGTTTTCAACTTCACACACCCCCAACCCGCAGTTCCTTGATGCACGTCCACTTGAACTCCCAAGAACTGACCCGCATTTCAGCCTACGTATGAATTGCAATAAATCCTTTTTTATTGGGGACGGACGGATAGATTTCTCCCTGCTAGGACGTGGTTTCTGCAAAAAGGACAGGTTGCAGAGTGGATTTTTCTCTTGCTCTGATCCCCAAATATCTATCTATTGTTCCAATTTAAATAGCTGCCCATCTTAAGGTAAACCGCTGCAAACTCGATTGCAGAAAATACGACTTCAGCAATAGAATGGTCAACGCCTGGAATTCTCTACCTGACTCCATTGTTACATCCTCAAACCCCTACAGCTTAAAACTGCCTAATGTGGACCTCACCCCATTTCTAAGAGGTCCGTAAAGGGGGCGTGCATAAGCTCACCACCATGCCTACTGTCCCTGTCCCCATTTATCTGTCCCCATTTCCTGTGTTCTTATTCATGTTTATTCTTATTCCTGTTACCTTGTACATATGTATACATGTACAGGACCCTTGAATGGCTTGCAAACAAATATACAAAGAACAATAGAACTATATGAAGAACAAAAGCAAGGAAATATGAAAATATCTAAAAAGTAATCTTTAGACTGGTTGGTTATATGATATCAGTGCTGACTTAAGATGGAAGGCTTGGAGGACCAAGTTGTGGGTGGACAGCCTCTTGCATGAAGTGGTATAGGGTCTCCTACTTGAGCAAGGGGTGGGACTAGAAGACCCCCCCCCAAGGTCCCTTCCAACCCTATGATTCTATGTTCTCTCTGGAGAGGACCAAGTAACTTATTTGCGATCTCCGGTGGGATTGCGAGAATTCAAATTTTCATCCTATGTTGCTGCATGCAGAAAACACAGACAGACAAATCCTCCAGGCCATCCTCCGTTTAAAATACAAACCTTTACTGCTGCAAACATGCAATGCACATTGCGGTATGAAAAAAAAGATCTATCAGTGACTATAATGCAGGGCAGTTTCGTGGAGAAAAACTGAAGCGAAATGAATAAGTGAGAAATATTAGAAATGCAGCCGAGTCTCTGACAACTGAAGAAACTCCATTCTCAGTATCTCCGGTTCATCTTCTTAAACTTTTCATAGTGATAATCGTCGGTGGCTTTCTCGTTTGGCGGGCGCTTCCGGTTCGGCGGAGATTCTGCAAAATTGAGAAAGAGACATTCCCAAAATAAAGATTAAGCGACAATTTTCGAATCAAAATACCTCCAATGGGCCAACTCAAAGAAATATGCCCATAACCCAGGTTACACGATTCCCACAGGATTGAAATTTAGCCCCCAGCCTGTGAGAACTAGACCAAAGTAGCTGTATGTGACTTACTTTCCATTTCGGATTTTTCAGTGTCTCCCACCCTCAGGGGTCGAGCCTTGGGCTCCTCTTTGTTTCTTCTTACCGGAGCATTCAGTTCTTCATGATAAACTGAAAAGAGATTATCATGATCGTGCTAGCTTAGGATCAACTCAAGTACAAATTTGCAGCTTTCAAAACACGGGGGCTCCTTGACTCACAAACCACAAATTGAGCCCAAAATTTCTGTCGTTAAGCCAGACAGTGGCTAAGCTTCCCTTTATGACTTTACTTGCCACAGTTCTTAAGGGAAATCACTGCAGCTGTTCAATTAGTAACAGTCGTAAAGTGAATCTGGCTTCCCCAGGGACTTTGCTCATCACAAGAGGGGATCACGTGACCCTGGGACGCTATAACCGTCATAAATATGAACCAGTTGCCAGCGCTGTCTGAAGGCGTCTCCATGGTCATGTGGCCAGCATGACTCAATGCCGAAGGCGCATGGAACGCTGTTCCCTTCCCACCAAAGGTGGTCCCTATTTTCCTACTTGCATTTTTTATGTGCTTTCGAACTGCTAGGTTGGCAGAAGCTGGGACAAGTCACGGGAGCTCACTCAGCTATATGGCGCTAGGGATTCGAACCGCCAACCTTTCTGATCAACAAGCTCAGCGTCTTAGCCTCTGAGCCACCGCGTCCCCATTGATCCAGGACAGTCAGCTTAAGTCCTCTCGTACTCACATCTGTTGTGTTGGACATAGTTCACTGCCATATTGGTGGGAACGAAGGAAGTTTCGCTGTCTTTCTTCTTATTCTGCTGTTCCGCCAGCAATCTTGCCTTCGCGTCTTCGGTGGAGATTATGTTTTTTATCTTGGCCCTAAGGAGAACCACCAAAAGAAATAGCATCAGGCTGAGATGTTTTCAAACGTCCGGGGAAGAAATGTTGGACTGAAGATAGCTCTAAAGAGAACAGCTAACGATGACCATGGTGGAATGAAGAAGGGGGGGAGTTGATTTGCTCTTTGATAATTTCTCTCTGGACAAGGGGAGGACTTGGGATCACCCCAAATTTCTTTTAAAGGAGAACATTTGTAGCTCAGACTTGAAATGAGGCGTCCTTGGTGCTCTCTGAGCTTGGTTGTTTTCTTGCAGATGTTTCATTACCCAAACTAGGTAACTAATCCTGATGATGTTCCCTAGTTGGGTATTGAAACGCCTGCAAGAAAGCAACCGAGCTCAGAGCTATAAATGGAGCAAACCCCACACTCACTAGCCCTGATGATGTTACCTAGTTGGGTAATACCTGTAAGAAAACGGCCAAGCTCGGAGAACACCAAGGTCCCCTCACTTCAATTTCAAATATTCTCCTTTATTGGATTAGAAGCTGCTAAACTTACTCGATTCCAAGGTCCACCTCGGGGATCCCACTCAGCATCTGATTGGACAGCATTTCTTCCGTCTTCTTAGCCGAAGAGACACGGATGCTCTCCGGGAGCTCGTACAGACAGTCCTCTGCGTTCTTCTGCTTCACTTTCTGCTCCTCGTTTTCCATAATCCCTTTTCTCTTCTTCAGCTCAGTTTCGATGTATTTCATCCTGAACGAAAGCCGGACTGGGTGACTTCGGGCCGATCACCAGGAGGTGAAGAATTCTAGTCCCGCCTTAAGTGTGAAAGCCAGCTGGGTGACTTTGGGCCCCTCCCTCTCAGTCCAACCCACCTCGCAGGGTGGTTGTTGTTGTTGTGGGGAAAATAGGAGGAGGAAGGTCTGGTGGATATGTTCACCACCTTGACTTCTTCGTGAAAATAATATAGGCGAGATATAAGCAAATAAATAAACAAATAATGGCAAGCTACATACATGTCTGCGTCTTCATCTCTCCTGTTGGTCTCGGCTGAAAACGAGGTGCCAAGATTGAGATCCTCCTCTTCGCTGATCCTATGAAAGGGCCACAAAGATGACTCTAAGCACCGTCAAGGCAAAAGGGGCAGAAGCACCGAAATTAATCTTCGGTCAACCCTCTTTTTTAACCTGTTAGCCCCAATAGCGCTCTACATGGGGCTGCCCTTGAAGAGTGTTCAAAGACTCCAGCTGGTCCAGAACGCAGCCACGCGAGCGATCGTGG